GTACAAAATAGCCTGTGTGCTATTCTGATAATAAATTATACCTAATACTGTAAGAATTTATCAAAATACGTCCAGTAGTTTTTGTGTTAAGAAGAACCAAGTAACAAAAGATCCATTCATGCATATTCTATGCTAACTCAAAAGCATCTACTTATAATTGTTTTAAAATATTAATTTGTAAAGTGTAACTAATCAATAACAATGTGAAAATGCGAATACAAAAGTATTGAGACCATTATTTCAATATTTGTACAGACGAGCAAATCAAGCTTAACATTGTGGCATCTTGCGTAGTTGTATTAAGAGCTACTTTTCAACGAAAATGAATAGTCTAATATGCTGTCAACTGTACTTATAACCGTTCCTACTGTCTCAAAAGTCAACTGTGGTTTCGCCTTTGAATCGAACTTTCAATAGAATTTGTTTTTATTCAGAATCAAGCGCTTTTGTTCTTCTGATGATGTTAAAATCATTGTTAAATGAAGAGTTAATATTGTAACAGAAAAGTTAACAACCATTCTGTGGGTTGTGTAAGTAAAAGAAGTTATAAGCCTGTAGAATGACTTTTATTGACAATTTTCCCTAAAGGGCTGACTTTACAATTCAAACACAACTTCTTAATCTTTATGAGAAATGTTTAATTTCAATCTACTTTTATTTTCGAAAATCTCTCCTTTTGGTTTTAATGTTACACCTTTTAAAACCTTCTTTAAGCATGTACACATTTTAGAAACATATCATCCTGTAGATAAAACATCTCTGACTCCTGATTTTAGGAATTTACATACTTTTAGCAAGAAACCCCTTGAGCCCTCGAAATGTGAGAGCTTTTTAATTAAGCTCTTTTACTTAATTTGAAGATAAATGTTGATGTGAAAATTGTACGTGCTTCTTGAAAAATCTTATATTTACCTCTACTTTTTCCTTGTTATTTAGTACTATGGCTCACCCCCACTTCGCATGTCCCATGCGGGAACCTTCGATTGGAAAATCCAACGTCCTAATAAGGCGATATTCCAAGAACCACAACGTATTAATTGCCTACAATTATCCTACTAAAGTTGTCTATTTTGACAAGGTAACTTAGCCCTCATTACCATTCCGAACTTAAGGCAAATGATTGTGAGTTGTAGTTATTGCAGGTGGGGAAACAGCGGGGCAGAAGCGGGGCTTAAAGTTTAAGCGGCGTGTAAACAAACGCTTTGACCTGGGCCCGTAAACATAAGTCAAAACTAAGTCGCTGAGTACATTTGAAGACAAATAGAAGGACTACAGATATAGATTTGCTTAAAGAAGCCTAGACTATACCTTGAAACTTTACAAAAATAAACAAAAGGGAAAATTTAAACAGGTTCAACTATCATACATAACTTGATGTCTCTATTCTATAACTAAAGCGGGATTCAGGAAAAGGACATGAAACATTTTTAAATGTTCATAATCCTTGTTGTTCAATAGTAACTTTAGATACTTTTGTCCGTCTTCAGCTTTCGGCAACTCTTCAAAACAAAGTTTCGTCATCACCACCGTCATAGTGACGTACAAAAGTGTTTCAATCGCCTGACGTCATGCTCAGTTGTTTGGTAATAGTGATTATTGCGTGGCGTTTGTTTGTGCGGATTTTATTGGACTACGCAGTACACCTTTTTAGTAATTTAGGCTCAGTCTATACGAAATTATCCTTCAGAGCTCGCAAGGTGAGCAGCATCTGAGACATACTAAATTAGTTGCCTAATTTAATATTTTTAGACTTTTATCATCTTACCATGTTAACAATTAACTCAATGTTATAATTAAAACTTAATTAAGTAGAACAATTTAAAAAAACACAATTATGTTTGCCTAAAATTTCAAGTTCAAGCCCAGAAAGTTTAGTATTCCTTTTTTGTAAGGGATTTTTTATTATGAGAGACTATTACTCCACCATCAATGATCCAATAATGCCTATTCACCCATCAATGTATTTTTAGCTCAACTTCTCTCCAACAAGAACACAACTTGTGTCGCTACGAAAATCGGAAAACAACTGAAAACAAGTGCCCTTCTGCTAGAATAACATGTCGTTCAGCCAGGTCGACGTGGCCTATCGCTAAATCTTGTTTATGCCTCCACTCGTATTAGTTGATATCTTTTTAAGGGTGCCGAAAGCCGACTACACATTATTCCTTTGCGCGCCAGTAAACGGGAGAAGTGAGGTAAAAGTAATGAATGAGTTCGAGAAATGAGGTAAAAACTCATTAATTTCATACCACTTTGTAAACTTAGATTCAAAAACAAACTTTCCCGTAGATAGACACATTTTTCTGCTATATCATGACAAGGTATAGAGTTTTCATTATTCGTACTTGTGCTATTATTTCGGAAACCTACTCAATTAGTTTTGATTTATTGCCAAATAAATTATAACTTTTTTACGTTCCCAAGATAAGTGTATCTTTTTTATTAAACTATATTTAGTATCCAAACATTTTGGAGAAAATTTGTACTTATTATAAGGAAGGAGGAAAGACATCGAAGTGATCCATTGAAAAGTTTTGGGAGATTGAATTATTAATACACTGATTAAACACTTATTACAAGAATATTATATTTTCTTACATTTATGTAGATTATAAAAAGGCAATCTATTCTCAGAGTCAAATAACCACGAACAAATACTTGCAATGGGAAGAAAATTACTCCTTTCTCAGTAATTTTCGATAGAAAATGAAGGATGTTTATTATTAGACTAGAACTTAATTATCTAGAACCAGCAGTGTATGTTATGCACGGAAAATAGGCCCGGCTGGCCATGTGAATTTTGGAACAACGTTAATTAAAACTTTCCACTAGAAACTAGATTGAATCCTCAATGGACGTGTCCCATAGATGATCCTCTATAGCTGACACATCAACACAAATCGTAATTGAATATGGAAATTCTAAGCTACGTATTTTCATTTATTTCTTGAATAATATTATGAAAATTTCGAAAAATCTTGTGTATTTCATGCAGTGAATCTTATTAGTTTTTTTTATTATTATGATAGGAATTTAAAAAATGTAAATAGCACACTGATATTATTGTAATTCGATGAGTTTGATTGCATTTTGTTCAAAAATTCGAATCAAGAATGTTCGCAGCAAAACTTTTTTGAATTATTAAATAATATAGTAATATTACTTGACACTGGCAAATCGCACGAAGCCATAAGATATAAAAAAAATTAAGTATTCAAGGAGGCTGTATTCCCAAAATAAAAAAAACAATCGTTAGGCTTGCGTTACCCAAAAAGGTCGGACAAAAAAGAACCCCGCTTATTTTTTCACTCAACATTTGTTTCCAGCCAGTGGCTTTTCAATCTAACGTTTTCTTTTTTAATGAAGACAACCAAACGCAATATGTTTTCCCCGCTTATCCTGACAAAGGGTTAACACGCGTTTTAACCGGTCAAATAAGTAATCCGGTCGGGGAAGGTCCGATCAGACCGCAATGTTTGACCGCACCCGACGCCTGGCTTGATGCTCTGGCTTAAGTACATATTGTGGGGAATGCGTGCGTATATTTTAATATTTCATTTCAGACATGTCCAAATTCATTAAGAGCATTGGCATATTTTGTGCATCGCCTAAAGATTTTGTATTTTACATCGATATCTATAAAAACGAAAGGTCACTGATTGACAGACTCACTCATCACAAAATACAGAAACTACAAGTGCTAGGAGTCTCAAATTTTGCATGGGGGTTCCTTTTAGAACGTAGGTACTCACTAAGAATGGATTTTACGAAACTAAGGGGGTAAAACGGGATCCACGCGTACGAAGTCGCGGGCGGCCGGTAATACAGGGTGACTGGTAATTAGTACAATAAATATGACATATTATTTTCAAGTCACAGCAATAATAGAGTCGCAAGAAATCTACTATGGTGACTTTACTTAATGTGAACAAACAAAGTTTTGTTTAATATTAATAAAACATTATAAAAACAATCAACTCGTATTACACGAGTGAAGTTAACTCAATTATAAAATTAACAATATGCACGAACCAATTTCTGTATTATTAAGTAATCTAAAGTATATGGTAAGATAATACAGGTTCACGAGTAAGGGTGAGACTGCATGGGATTTTTTTTTCCTCAACTAATAACAGTGTTACTCGTTTAGGTGTGACTCGTTGGGAACTAGCGCTTTTAAACCTTGTCCAGGAGGGCGAATTCGCCGCGAATGTCTTCGCGCGTAGAATCATAGAGATACTAGCGCCGAATTTTGTCAGTGTGCGTGCGCGCCGCATACGTATTGGCGCGCTCACATACAAACCGCGCTCGGTGCGTTTCTATGAAGACGCCCTACTCATTTGTATTTACTCTGCTAGCAGCCAAGACAGTGCATCTATAAGGCACGCGCGAATTGAAAATTCGACTCGTGCGAGTCTTGTGAACGCAAGTCACGCTTGCGCGCGCATCCGTAGTCAGTAAGGATTAGTGTACTCGTAGTATCGTAGCTCGTAGCACAGTAAGGAATATAGTGAACTCGTAATTTCGTATCCCGTAGTATAGTAAGGATATTATGCTAGTGTATTCATAGTTTTGTAGCTCGTAGCACAGTAAGGATAAATGTAGTGTACTCGTAGTTTCATAGCTCGTAGCACAGTAAGGATAAATGTAGTGTACTCGTAGTTTCATAGCTCGTAGCACAGTAAGGATAAATGTAGTGTACTCGTAGTTTCATAGCTCGTAGCACAGCAAGGATATTATGTAGTGTACTTGTAGTTTCGTAGCTCGTAGCACAGCAAGGATAATAATAATGACGTGGTGTACGGTACCCGTAGTTTCACAGCAAGGATAGTGTACCCGTAGTTTCGTGGCTCGTAGCACAGTAAGGATAAATGAAGTACACTCGTAGTTCCGTAGCTCGTAGCATATTATGCACACAACAACATATCAGACTTACATTTTTAGTGTAAAATCACAGTGTTAGTTGACGTGCCGTTGTATGTACTTAAAATAGGACTTACGTTTGGCTGCGATGCCTTGTGCCAGTAGCAGGACCGCCAGGATGGTAACCGCAAAACAGGTTTGAGCCATTTTATGTAAGTACTGAAACAATTGAAAAAAGCATAAGAAAAGAAACTCTATGAAAATAACATTAAACATGTAACGTTTTTTAGAGCCTTTAAAGTCTAAACAAAAGTGAAAATTCCTACATCGAAAAGTGTTAGCCGTTAACTGAAATTAACTGTCTTATCTAAAGTCAAGAAAACCTTCACATAGTTTAGCTGTCCTGTATCAATATTTTTATTAATTTTACTTTTTATTGTTATGTAATTTGTGGTATTCAGCTACGTTTAACTATTTGTTTTTAAATAAAAATAAGAATAAAATAGCCTTAAAATCTGAGTTATCTGGTACGCAGAGTAACAAGAGCTCACTAATCGATTAAAATTGTATAAATAAGTTACTAAGTACACAACGTAACACGTGCCTTATCCGACCTTTTTGTTACAACAAAATGAACAATAAAAAGTAAACAATAACACTTAAAGAAATCATAGGACCAACCATTTGTTGAATGTCAACTTTGATGTTAGAGGCCGAAACACTCGGGTCTTCGCGTCATTCATTTGTACTTTTATTATAATTATTCTGGCAACACTTCAAAAGGAGTTGCGACGCAAATGTTGCCATTTTCAAAATTGTTAACGAACTTCATAAATTACTATTTATGGAGAGGTTGGCAAACCACAAAAATACTTTGGCTCTTAAACTTTACTATGGTTTTAACAAGCTTAGTGATTTTATACCACTATTTAACTTTAATCAAACTTGGCGGCGCACTGTACTTAGCAGACGAGGCGAAGAAAATCGGCAAGACTTGGAGCGAGATCAAACGCGAAGCTCAAGACCGAACGCGATGGAAGACTGTTGTGGACGCCCTCTGCCCCATCTAGGGGACATAGGACCTAAAGTCAAGTAAGTAAGTCATTTAACTTCAAGTATTAAGATAACTATGAATAAGGTACAACATTGATGACGACAGAACATAATTTCTTAAAGTTATAAACAGATAATATCGAATTACAACTTCACAGTTATTTAATTTGACGGTTCAATAATTTTGTATTGCACTCCAGAAATCACTCTCTACACTGGTATGAGAGAGTGCTTAGTTTATTAATACGTAGTGTTACTCTAGTCGAGTAATTAAGACGTGGTATTAAGATGGACGTGCAGACTTAAGACCAAAGTTGAGGCGAACTTCAGAACTACAGTTCATCTCAGGTGATAGATAGACCAACTAGTAGTACATTATTAAATGAATAAACAATATACACTATTGTTAACCTAAAAAGATTTGTTTTTTTTTTGTAATGACTATTCAATACAAAAAAAAAACAAATCTTTTTCGAGCCTATGCTCTGAAGCTACTGGACGGATTTGAAAAAATATTTCACTGTTAGAATTATTATTTTTTCTAATGAACATACCGTACGACGTTCACCGTCTCATCTAGTTGATATTTAATTTTTATTCTGATAATTATTTAATTTTGTGTGCAAATAAGTACCTATAAAGGTCCTTAATTCTCTTTTTTTAAGTCACGGTTTTTAAAGTCTTTCTTGCTAATAGCTATTTTCGTTTGCTTTAAAAACCATTTTCACAATGCTATTTCAAAACTAATAACATTAAAGAAACTCTAATAAACAGTCATTTCATATGTCAGTATAATAGCTATTGAATTCCGCACTGATGTGGGCTTTGGTATTGAAGGCTGACGTGATGTGAGTCACTCGAACTTTTTATCGTAAAAGTTGGATCTGTGTCAATGCGCCGCTATTCACGCCTCTATCATGTATGGTCGCTGCATGTGGCATATTTAACTGAATGCAATTTTATATAGCACCAAAGTACCTATGTAAACAAACAAATCGGTATTCATCTATTTTAACAACCTTGTTGATTTTTCAATCGTCAAATAAATTTTAAGGGTGGGTTGCACCATCTTACTTTAACTTTGACAAACGTCAAAAAGCTGTCAAACTCCATACAAAAAGCACAGGTTATCGTCATTGTTACCGTTAAAGTTAGGTGGTGCAATTCAGCCTAACTGAAGGAATAAGTTTGGCACATTGACAGTTTCAGTATGGGAAATATTATTATGTCAAAATGACTAGTTTATTCTTCAGTTAAAAAAACAAAAGTTTGAATCTTTGGTATGTACGAGTAAAACTGTTTCATTTTAATCTAAATCGTAAACAGGAGAAAATCTTCAATTCAAACCTTCTCTAATTTATTGTAAAATTGGCATGCTTGAACAAGCGTTTCCCCAAAATTAATAAAACTGTTTAATACAAAATCAATCAGCAATCACTCCAAACTAATTTCGCTGTAATAATAAATTAACGGCCATTTTATTTGTTGAAAATAATGTTACTATAAACCCTGTAAACAACGTGAAAATTACGCTTTAAATGCATATCAAAGTCCAGCTTCTGAAGTCAAATCGAATTATGAAACATGGCAACACTTGGTCCTGAATGAAATTTCACGAGCAGTCCTCAGATGTAATTAGGACGCAAAACAACGAAGTAACACATTCGGACGATGGCCAGCACGTGGAGACCTCCAGTGGGTAATCTTAGGACTGTATTACAGAAGTAAACTTAAGATTCAGAGTCGATTAAGTCTCAAACATAGTAATTAAAATAGAAAAAAAAATTGTAAGTTATTTATGATCCATATTACAGGACGAAGAAAAAGTCGATTCAATCTCAAACATAGTAATGGAAATAAAGATAAGTACATCGTTTTTCATGCTCTGACATGAACAGTACGTGACTAGTTACAGCTTGCTGTTTCGGCTGTGTTTCTACAACCGCTCTCATAAGCAACACAACCTACATGTAAAGCTGTCAAACTCTATTTAAATTGTAATAGAACGCGAAAGTTTAAATAAGTAAGATGAAAAACCTAATTGTTGCTGAAGTAAAGAATCTTATATCTTTTTGGCTCGCTAAAGCAATTATTTTTTCATCCCGAGTCTTAAAGCTTTAACAACAATGTAACCACAGTAACAAGAACTGAACTAATTGTTACATTAAATATTTGCAACAAAATGCTACAAATTTCACATTTCATTTGACTTTGATTAAGCTGAATATGTTGCGATGGAACAGTTTTAGTGGAAGATTTGTTTAGGTTATTTTTCCAGTAGCGAGCCATCTCCCCAATAGCTCTCCACTTCAATGTTCAGTATACAAAAATATTTTAACTATGACTCTAAAATAATTGGGCATTGCAGAGGCCAACCTACACTGGCCAGTCCAGTCCATTGACGACAAGCGGATCGGTATCTGACGCCCCAAGCGCTGCGGGCTCCACGAAGATTTGATTACCAGCGGCAAGACGACATCGTCAGTCAAATACTGGCACAAACTCGGAATTCAAACTTAGTTTTTTAATCACGAGAGAAAACAAATGTGACGTTTGGTCTTTAAAAATGCTGGCTGAATTGATAAAAAATGATGCCTTCTTAATTTCAAGTTGAAAAGCGATAGGTAACAAAAAAGTTTAATTGTTTGTTTGTTGTTTTTCTTGGACCACAAATTCGAAATTTGAATTTACTGCAATGTTTTCGCATTTTGGTTTCTTTTTAAAGTTTTGGCACAGAGGTTACAACATACACCGACCTCCTTCTGGGTCCGCTTACAAATAATTGTCTAGGAGTGAAAACTATGTTCATATTGTTCATTGTTCAGAAGTGCAATTTTTTCAAGCCATGGACACAATACATTTCGCATTTATAACTTAATAATAATAATGCTTCTTTCAAACCTAAAATACTTGTACTGTGTATTCCCAACGGAACTGAATCTTATATTCCCCACCACTACAGATCCTAAGGGATCTGGATTTCTATTTCTTTGACAGACTGAAACACACGCGCTTAAAATATTTACAGAAACAACAAGATTTGTGCTAAAGATTTACAAATAGACAGTTTGATCGTTGTCCTACAAAATACCCAATATCAAGAAAATAGGAAAATTCCCGCACTAAAACAAATTAATATCAGACATACACGTAGCTAAAAATATAAGAAATAATTATACGAGTACCAAAGAAACAAACAATGTCCTCTAGGAATTTTTTGGGACGTAATACGGAGTCCACGCTTATATTTATTATTTATACTAGTGACATTCTAGAAACAGTAATTACTTATACAAAATTACATAGAGTAATTAACCTAGCCATGTTACAGAAAACAAAAACTACATTGTCTGTACCGCAATGTCTTGTGGGAAAATTTTAAACTTTAAAAAAATACTTACATTTCAAAAGTTTAAAATTACCTATTGTCAAATTAAATTATCTTGATACTTGATGACGTTACTGCATCATGTTCAAGTTTAGGGAGTTATGTTTCAGAACTTTATCCAGTTCCTCTTTAATAATAGATTGCCATTAACGCTTGTCGTTATTAAATTATACTGCAGTTGCTCGTTGCCAGTTAAATTATAAAGCGGCAAGCCGAATCTTAGTACCTGTCAGGTAAAATAATATCCCCGCATAGGTACTCTATTTTATAATGACTTCATTAGCTGAGAAACCTACATTAGACTTTTATTAGGGGAGACCGAGGAGAGTTGTGACATTGTCGATTTTTGGAAACCTATTAACTATCAGCGATCTCGCAACAGCGCGCATTTGATAGCTCGAGACTTGAACTAAAAAACGCGCTCTGTTAGGAACTCGCTAATACCTAGTAAATAAGTTCCAAAAAATCGACTCAACTATTGTGGTGAGCTCACTTGTGATACAAGCATATTTAGCTTAGCACGAGGAGCTAATAGTAATTGCTACAAATTACTAGTAAATAAAAAAAGTCGCAACTCTCCTCGGTCTCCCCTACCTTTGAAATAATAGCAAAAAAAAATATTTTTACAATTCTTCAGCTACGTGTTTGAGCCATGTTCATGAATTTACGATTCTTTAGCAGTGTCCACCAAAAGTCATATTGTAGACTTTGCACTGTATATTTGACAGAGCAATCCCGCTGGCAGTAAACTAAATGATGCTCCATACACTGAGGCGAT